AGCTTTCTGATCGTTTGTAAATATCTCTTTCGATCGGCAAATGGACTTAACAGGTGACGAGGAGCAAAGAAAATGCTAATTCCTTGCCGTTCATAGGGAAGAAAGCTCTCCAGGGTTTTACAAATAGAATTCCAGCTACACCGCCGTCGCATCTTTGTCGTTCCTGATCTCTTCGCGATATAGCGCAACTACTAAGAGACTTGTACAAGCTCTTAGATATATTGTTACAAGTTGTACATCCTAAATGCAATTATGTGTAACGCATTTATTGATATGTGTCGTCTGTGAAAGGTTGAACGCGAAATAACGAAACGAATTAAGACTCCGAAACTCTCCACTTCGTATCGAACCTCGACAGTTTGAGGTCTGAAGAGTGTATTGTTTCTCTGGAAGGGAAGCAGATTGTTAGCTCCAAGAGACACGAGGCTCGATTGTGCATATTGCATTAATCGGCATATTAGATTCGCTCTTAGTTTCGCAGCTGTATAGGGGGAAGAGAAGAGAGAAGGGAGAGGCAGACGATTGGGAAACGTTGAAGAGGCAAAGCAAGGGGGCGCACCCTGACGTAATCGCGCGGTATTCTGTCTCTGGCCTTCTCACCGGTCGTCTCCGTTCTGTGCCGACGAGGGTTCCGCACAAGAGGCGAAATAAGAGCCATTTCAATTGTGGCGAGTTAAACCGCCAGCAATTACCGTTAAAATTACACGATACTTACCGGGCCACCGAAATTCTGCATTGCGGCAGCCTCTATTATTTCGCAGCCGGGTCGTCTCGGCTACGTAGCTACGCGTTCCATTGTGAACCGAACATGATGCTGACCGACTCTTCGCGACCACCTGCGCAAGCCTTCTCTTTAGCTGTACACAGGTGCACGCCAATTGGACACGCCGTTGGATTTATCCGTAGCAATGTTCGTTGTCGTGGATGCGCTTCTCCGCTCCATTTGCTCTATCGAGAAACTTCTGAGGAGAGGAGGCGAGGATGAACAAATTTTTATCCATATATTTTATAAAAAATCATTCGGATTTACAGAATATCCACTGTTGTTGATTTATGGAATTTTTATGAAAAATTGGTCGTTGCGACTACATTGATAATAATAGTTTTTTTATATTTTATGATGAATCAATCAAATTGCACCATCCAAATATACATCGTCGTAAATCTATTCGATTGTTGTGAAAAGCTAGTAACGATAATAGAAGCTCTAGTAATAACAAGCGTGGGTAAGGCATAATGAATTCGGAGAAAATTTCCTTTATAAAGAAGAGAAATCTTTTTCTTTTTTAAGGGAAATTGCTGAGTTTGTTTGAAATTAATCTATCCATATTTGCTAATAATAAGTTTTAATATAGTTCATGGATTTTTTTTTTTTGACTACCAATAGTGCACAATTTTCCGATTATTACTCTATTTCATTTACTTTGTTCGTTCGTTGGTTTCTCCTATTCTCTCTCCCTGTTGTCCTTTTTATTTTTGTATTTTCCATTCCAACAAATGATATTAAATTTCCAATTGATCATCGTTATCATATTTCTACATCCATCTACGTTTGTTCACACACATGCACGCATACTTTATGAAATATTGTTACAGAATTCGTGATCAATATATTGACAATAATTTAATAGCGCTATGGGGTTTAATTTTGTAAAATGTAAATCAGAGTATCGGTGGTAGATGATTCTTTGCTACCATGCATTTCAATGCTATCAATATCATTGACAGAAATTTTACTAAGGTGTAAAACATAAATTAACGGCATAGTTAATGTATTTCTGATATTCTGCGTGAACAAATACGCTTAATGTAGTCGATATTCTATATTACAGAATTAATGGACCACGTTGAAAATTCGGCCATGAATTATGATAATTAATAAAGGTGTATTTACGCAAGAATTCGGATCATTGAATTTACCTTCCTATAAAGCGGAAATATGGTCAGTGAATAATAATTAGTTACGCCGTTACACAAGATACGATTTAGTGAAACAAATGGCAAATCTAAATCGTACATTCAATTTGCAAGCAACAATGAAAATATTGATTTGATTAAATTCTTTATAATCTAATGATTCAATATTATTCGATAGTACTAAGGTAAAATTAAAATTTCAATGTATAATTTCATTTCGTCGTTATATGTATAAATCTTTTATTCGCTAAATCAATTTTTGGATCTTCGATCTTTTGCTTAAGCATCGAAAGTTTCCTACCAAATTCTAGAATCTCCAAGAGCTTTATTTGTTCATAAATCATTTCACGGTATTTTTATTTTATCGTAATTTTATCAGAAGAGATTCAGCAAATAGAATAACATAATTACTTACTTACCTGATATATTAGACTTTTATTAGACTATTAAATAACTATAATAATATTATAATTAATAAACTATTAAATAATATAGACTATAACAAGTTATACATATTAAAATGAATTAAACGTGATTAAAGTGAAATATGGGATTGTTAAAATGTTTGGTAATGGCTCCAATTTTTAATAAGACATTTACTATTCCATGTGACAAAAAAATAAAGATAAAAATATAAAAACTATGTAAAATGTATAAAATGTTGCTGTGATAAGCAACTGTGACAAGCGAGACACAGTAGCAGTCTGATTACATTATTGAAGAAATTCCGAAAGGTATCTGTTCTCTTCGGGTCAGCTTAATGATATTGATCTTAGCTCGTAGATGATTGCCACGTCCGAAGAATTCTTCCTGCTGACTTTTCACGGTTTCGGTATGTCAGCTGGCTCTTGATGAAGCAAACTGTGCAATGTTTGCGAAACCTCGACGACAGGAATCCTTAGGAGCCCAGAAACTATCCAACGAATCCAAGACCAATACAACATATTCTTTGCAGTAGTCAGTCACTATTCTTGACCCAAACAAAAAAGGGCGGAAGAAGAGTTAAAACGAACCAGCAAACGGTGTAGTCTCTTCTGTGTTTCGAAGAAACCAAGAATCAACATCAACTTGTATCTGTATTGCATTGTAACGATATTTAAGAAAAATTTTCTTATGGTTTCCCATTCCTCGATAAAATTCTGACTATGTGAAAAAGAACCATAATAATCGTACGTTATTATGTGCCATTGACTGGTAGGTACATTGAACAAAAGAAACAATCCAATGCGTGGATATAATTCCTATAAATAAGGAAACTTTTACTCGCATAAATGCAACTAGTCGTAACACGAAGAATTTTATATCTATTGCTTTTCTAAAATATATAGTTTGAAAATATATTTCTTATATTTCTTATTTCGTGTACCGATTACGAATGAAATTAAGTTGGAACTTAAAAAATTCTATAAAAATAGAAAAGACATGAAAAGCGCACGAGTGATAAACTTCCCTTAATTCCTGCGTAAAGTTACTTTTATTGCGAATAGAATTTACCACGCTACCATTTCATTCCTAATCATTGACACACAGGTAGCTCTGCATTTTTCTCAAAAAGACAATAACTGAATATAATAAAGTTCAATAAAAAAAATGTACATTAGTTTAAAAATAAAAATAATAAAGGAATAATAAAGCGAAACAAATCGCGATGTTTCGTTGTGTCGCAGAATCTGTTGGGCAGACTCAACGATTTGCGTAATCCTCGAATGGTGGTTGGACAACGTTGCGCGTCGAAATATCGTTGGTTGGTTCCGACGAAAGCGATCCACAAATTCGTCCCGTCCCGATCGTCGAAACCACAATTTTAACCGAACGGTCGTAATTAAACGGACTAAAACTGGATAATTGATGAGGCACGTGTAGGAGGGGAGTATTGGCAATATTGGTAACGGTCGGATATCCGAACATAAATCGAACGAATACTCATACATGTATATAAACATACACTTTATTATGATAATTTATAATTGCATTCGTATTCACAATGAATATGCGCAATAACGTATTGTAATTAGATGTATAAACTGGTCTATGGAGTAATAACCTAGACTAATCAAGTTTTGCGGCTAATTATATACGGCCCACGTACAGACTCAATTACACGTCGATCTCTCGTATCACGTACGTTTCGATTTCAAATTGATTTTTATCAAATTTTGATCGAGAAATGATCCAGTTGACACAGGAGCAACCAATGTGTATTTCAATGCGATGCCTTGTTTATACCATTTCTTATTGGTATTCTTAAAGGTATGCGTGATATCGTTTTAATTTTACGATAAACGTGTTCTTAAAACGTATCAAATTCTTTTCGTTTGTAAAAACGGAATTACCATCCATCATTTTCACCAGTTTGGTAATTCTAAAATAAAAAGATACCATTAAATTTCTGATCGATTCAAACCATTGTTATAAATCTATCGTTATATTTTAGATTCTCGTCGCTAATGATCCAGAAGTCAACGCGACGTTAAATTGTTATTTAGAAAAATGAGGCAAAGGAAGAAGAGGCAAAGAATCCTTATTTTTTTTATTAAGGTTCTTTGACCACTGTAAAGATCATGAAACGTCAGATCGACGCGGAATCTTATCCCGTTCGTCTACATTATAGACACCCAACGACGATCGACTCTCGTGGAACAATCGACCCTGCCAATCAGAAATTTCGCCGGGAAATGAAAATGCGAAAGTAACGCGACAGGTAGTTTTCTGCGAATCGTTTCGAACTCTGTATTCCCCGAAAATTGGTAGGAACTGAACTTGGTTTGGCGATTCAACACGAACCTCGAAATGTATCGTTGGATTTGTTCGGTTTCGCGTGTGTGTATGTCAGGAGCGTTGAGCCGTTTCACACATTTCTGTTTTACCATTTACCTGTTTTCTTTCTTCTTTTTTTTTTTTTTTACATAGGTAGCTTCTTTGTGACACATTGTTTTCCGTGAAATAAGTTCGTTTAAGCTCATTTTTATCCATAGGCTTCAGTTCTGTGTACAAACAGAATACAATAAATATATGGGGAATAAAAATTGTAAAAATTCGCGTTCTCGTACGATACTCGATCCGTAAGATTGAAAAACGATGCCGTAGGTTGTTTTCTCTTTTTATTCGTGTTGTACTGTACACAATAAGCGATGAACAACTCTCGTCTGTTCGCCTTATTCGCTGAGCAATTATTGTAACAATTTCGGTACCGTTCTGGTAGGAAAGCATAGCTATATAAATACTTCTCCGTTACCTATTCGTTACGATAATAAAATAACGTTTACATCGCCGTCTGAAGGAATTAACTGGGTCCTTAAATTACGTCGATTCCATTACAACACCGTTTCCAAATGAAAAGTATCGTCGTACCAGCTTTTCCGAACACTCAGTCGCTCTGGTTCATATGCACGCGTATTTTTAAACGCTAATCTCGATTTTAAAGAATCAAGCAAATAATATTCGCATGAATTTCGTCGCGTGTACACGAAGTGTTGCGTGTTTCGATCGACGAAAGAAATATTTAAATATCGAGGATATAAAATATAAAACATTTCTAAAGAAATACGATCTTATCCTTACAAATTCCTCGTGTCTGATCAAACTTTTATTTTGATCGAATCCTAACACAAACGTGATTTTCTAAAAAATATATCGTTCACACAACACCAAGCGACACGATTCAACCGAAGCAGCGTCGGCGTTCGTGCGACAGCACATTTAAAAAAATATTTCATCTTGATCGAATCGACCTTCAGCGACTACCGATTCTCTAGCGACCTCGTTGCTGGAATCTCGTTCGTAACTGACAACGAGATCGATTCTCAGAAGCAGTTTCGTGAGGTAAATTGCTGCTTGGTCAATGACAGTCTCCTCTGTTTCATCACCAACGTGCTTCGATCCGAAAATTTTCGACGAGAAAAGAGGGATACGGGGAAATACGTGAATGAGGAGGAATGCGTGGGTCGTAAGAGGAGATAGAACGTATACATGAACCAACGCAAACGTTATCTACAAATTCACGTCACGTTCGTGCATCTTGACATCCACGAATCTTATTTGAAGCTTCCATTGCACGACTTTCTCTCTCTCTCTCTCTCTCTCTCTCTCTCTCTCTCTCTTTCTTTCACATCTAATGCTCTCGAGAGCGACCGATTTGATGAAATTTGCGTGAGAAATTCACTCGAATTATTATTACTCAAACGTACAATATCGTAGTAGAGAATTGTTCAATAAGCATCGCCGAACTTTTCGATGTTTTCTCGAATCTTTTTTTTTGTTAGTATACAGCGTATATACATTGGTCTTCCATTAAGTTTTGGCAACGTTTCGACGAGGGCGTTCGTTTAAAGCGACGATTTACGACTACAGGCAAGCACGGGTGTGCAATCAACGAAAAGAACGAAAAAATAAAAGCGGAAAAGAAACGAAAGAAACGTGCTGCGTCACTTTCGACCACGTTCTAACGAGAAACTTGGACGTTCTATCGAACCAAAAGATACACAAAAGAACTCGCCGCCATCGGACTTCCTTTTAATTGAAAACCGTTTCTCCTTCTGACGTTTCTAAGAGTGCAGCAACACACGATTTCTCGGTTTACCGATGGAAAGACGGTAGCTACGATCGATCCGTCTATCTTGCTGGAGGACGTCGAACGAGTTTCCCTTTCGTTCCGATTCACCGATCGTGGGTTTCATCGGTTGCTTTTAAATGAAACTTCGATTGATTGGTTGTACGTTGCCGACCTGGTTTAATCTAGGTCGGAGAATATTCCGAAATCGGGTTGTTTTTACCTATCATTAATTCCTGAATATTTGTTGTTTCTGATTAAGAAGAATTGAAATGCTGAAATGAATTTAATAAATTGTTGGAATATCATTTTTTATTTCTACTTATTTCCTTCCAAAATTTTTCCTTCCAAATATTCTATATATGTATGAAAAAAAGAATAGATTTATTGGGTGAAAGAAATAAGATAAAATAATGTTGGAAAGACGAGCGTAGTCATAGATCGAAAAGTAAAACGATTATTTATATTCCTTCGATTACAGTATCATTGTTAAACTGCCAGCTATTACTAACTCGTGTAATACACGTTTACGCAAGTTTATATTTTTAAGAAAATAATTAAAAAAGTGAAACCTAAATATTATAGATATTATAATTTATAATATTTTACTTCGAATATTTTATATATTTCTGTATATTACGTACGTTCTGTACATACTTGCACCTTGAAAATCTCTCATAAGCGCATAAATATCCGCAATCAAATTATTATCTCTCGTAATCAACATTTTAACACATAGATATTAAATCGTGCTTTAGCCAAACGTTCGATACGTTGCCGAACAAAGCTCATCGAAGAATGACGTACATCATTATTATCTTTTCTCTTTCTTCCATCGACGCATACTTCCTTACTCGATTTTCTTACAAAAGCCATACCAAACGGCCAGAAACGCCGATACGTTTAATTAAACGCTAAATATTGGCACCGTGTAATTACATATGTGCGGAGAACTACGTGTCCGGCAATTAGAGACAAAACACGTACAGAAGAACGATCCGAGAAAAACGATTATGACGATAGCGAGTCGATTGTGTACGTGTCTCTGTAATACTGCCCGATCATCCTCGATGCACGTGTGAAAAATAAATTTCAGAGTAACTTGACTCTCTGTTCGATCAAAGTTCGCCGTGTCGTGTCGTCGCGAAATAGGGACCAATTAATATGGTTAATTAACTATATTTACACATTTACCAAGGGCTTCTCCGATCATATCTCAGTCCATTGTTATCAATATTGTCCGCTATGAACGCATGCGTCTCTGTCTCGTAGGAACGACGTAGAGAAAGAAAAATACTCTTCGAAACGACGCTTCTGCGGAAGAAAAGCGTAAACCAGATTTCACCCTCGTGATCGTGTAATTTTCTCTATCGATCGGTCGTACAAGGTCTTCGCGATATTTTCAACGTATCACGAACGTCGTATATTTTGTGGTATGCTTCGTCGATCCGCGTATTTCTCGAAAAAAGAACGATCATTAAGGGGTTCTGGATTAAGGCTTCGTTTACGAATCGACTCTCGTTAGATTCTTGTTTCGCTCCTTTCGTTCCCCAATCGAACGTTTCCTCTCGAAATCCCTCTCGATCGCGAGAAAAAAATTACACGGAAGAAACCCAGCGAACGGGTAGCATCGCGACGAGCGCTGCTTCTCTGAGAACGTCGAAAGCACACTCAAAGTACAGCGAATAATTGTTTAAAAACACGTCGACGCTACCTCGACGATAGTAGTAACTATATAACCAACGCCGATCAGTTACTCGTCCAAAAGATTATCGCCACACTCCAACTACGTTACTCTCATTTTTATTTCGATTAGAACCTTCCATCGCTTCGTTTCGTATTACCCGAAGGTAGACTATAAACGGGGAACCTAGTCGATGCGCAGCTCGCTTGGTCCTCTTCAATGAAAACGCAGTCGTTGTGATCGATGTCTGCTACAGCCGCGGTGCTTATCGCGATACATATCGTAGACATCGAATACTTAAATACCGCAACTCGTTTTCCGGAACGTTTTCTCGACTTGGCGTATATCTCGGCCATCTCGTGACATTTCACTGGTCGCCGCATACACCTGGAGTGTGACGCGAAAAAACGCGGAAACAACCACCTATATTTTCGTCTTCCGTTTCTTCTCCTTTCGTTCGCATTGTAAGAGACTGAAACGCGTGAAAAGTAGCCGAGAGTACCAACAAGTCCTAGACTCGCAGCTGTTCGAGCCACGAACACATCGACAGACAGAAACTCGTCGAACTGCCAGCGTTTAAGGCGAGAGGATGAGAAACAGAGACATAGGTGGAGAGTTAGTCGAAGAGTTTCGCGAGCTAGAGCGTCTCCAGGAGGTTCTGGACGAGAAGCGCGGGAGCGGTCACGCGTGCCTTTCCCTTTCTAGACTGTCTACAGGTACGTACGTTGCAACGAGGCGCTCGCTCCAGCTGTTCCGACTTGTTGCTGTCCTGCTCGAGCTGCACTGACACGCTGGCGACACGCGGTGTCGAACAACCGCCCTGCTGCAACAGACAATTCGACATGTTTGAAGGGGAACCCTGACGTTTACTGCCTCGTCGAGTGTACACGGGTTGGAACACGCGTCGAGGGGACTACCGCCCCGGATCGCCGATCGTGGCTAATCAACCCCGCATGCGGATCAACGCCTCTGACTTTTCGTTGTTTCGCCGCGGCTAAACAGGTGGTTCATCTGTCGCTTATTTTCTACTTTACAGGGAGAATGTGGGTTTCGATGAGCGTGGTTGAATTCAAGGAGAATATTGTGAGAATTTTGTGAGATATCGAAGGCTGACAAGCGAGTATATCGCCGGGCGTAAGTATTAGGGTCATCTATGCTTTACGCAATTATTGAAAAATTTTAGCAGAATTCTACTTGGCTGGTATTTTACATTATAAGGTACTTAACACGTGATATAGGAATGAAATAGGAAATTTATAATAAAATAGTCGTATAAAAAATCAATAGTAGTGTTTTGGTGTTGTGTGGATTTATAATAGGTTTAAGAATCGATCGAAGGGCGAGTTTGTAAATTCTAAATTATTAATATTTATTTTCAGGTAGTACCGAATAATTTGTTGAAATATAACTTGACAGGCTCCAAAATTTGAAATCCACGATTTGCTGGTGTGTAACAAGAGAATTAAATTACTCGATAAATTAATATATTTTCTAATATTAATATATTCTGCAATAGCGAATCGAAAGTACTTCACTCGATAACAAAAATAGAAAGTTCATGCAATCACGAGAAATATAAGGAAAAGAGTATTTATAACAATCAATAGGAAACGTTCGATCGAAAAACAGAAGGGAAAAAGAACGACAGGATGGAAGAAAGAGACGTCGGTTCAAAGTGGGCAAGTTTCTACAGGGTTGAATCGTTAACGACTGGAACGAATTGTGCCGAAGCACTGAGTGAGCACTGCTGTGAATGGGCGCGGCAGTAAAGAAAGGGGCAGGAACGAACGTAGAACGAGAGGGAACAGGAAGAAGCTCTAGCGGAGTCGAATCTATTTAATTAGAATTATGGCGATACGACGTAACCGAAGAATCTCAAGTAATCTGTCAATGAGTTTAACAGGTCACCGGAAGCGTCGACTAGCTCGCGGTATCCGACTTTCCTTCTACTAATTCGTTCAATTACTTTTATCACGACATTTTCCACGACATGGAAGAGAAAGACTCTCAAGTTCGCAGGCGAAATGAAGCGAACGTCGCCGAAAGAATGACGGAAATATTAAAACGCGCGGATCAAAGGGAAAGGGTCATAAAGCAGGATGAACGTCAAGCGGTCTTGAAACTTAATAGAAGTATTAATATTATGTAGCCGTTTCCGATCGTGTCGTTTCTACCGTAGAACCAATTTCAACGATCAAGGAGAAACTAATAAATTTTATTATCAGAAGTTTTATAATTTCACTCGAGCGATATAGCATTGCGAGTCGTAATTAATTATTGTTGTAACACAATGGTATTATGATGCGCTGGTGTTACGGATTATCGTACAAGTTTCGACAATATATTTTATAGGTAAAAATAAATATAACGCTGTAAGTGATTTATCGTCAAGTTGCAGAAAATATATGAGGCAGGAAGTAATGGATTTATTTCCAGATAAATGATATTCCTGTTTCGTATTGATTTAGTGAATTAAACATAGTGAATTAAATAAATTAAGTGATAAATCGGTTTATAAACTAATCCAGTCGCATGTTGGTTTTACGTTGTCTCTATGTATTTTCGTATTCGAAGTACATATAATATTATTCATAAGCCTCTAACGCATCAGTGTACTATAGAATTTATTCGATACGTAAATAATTAATTCAGCAAATTTGTCTTGTATCTATTAACGTGTAACGTTAATATTATTTATTTACTTATTTATTTTTTGGTCCTATACAATGTTAAAAATAAGAGCACCATTTTGTTCGCCTTCAAAATCAACTTTTTTATAACGTTTTCAAGGACTTTTGTTTATACAATATTTTCGTACTAGCTTTAGCCGTAGAACACGTGCATTCCCTAATTATTTATATGGTGCAGGAATGTGAATGACAAAAGATAATTGTGCAGGGGAATGAGTTTTCTTCAAAGGAAAAGTAAAAATTCGATATGAAAGTCTTTTGTCGATAGTTTCGTTTTTTTTGAGAAAATCAGATTTCAGAGATTTGTGAAATATATTATATCATATAATTTTCACGTTTGATTCGATGATACTCGATTTTGCATGATATTCGCCATGAATATTATCTAAATAGAAATGAAAATTACTGACCGACAAGCAGATATTTCCTTGATGTTGATGCGCTCGACGACGAGATTCACTTTGTAGCTGCCACGCGCGTATATACAGATCGCCACGATATACGAGGCCACCTCGTTTCGCTCGTAACATCAGATGCCATCTGAAACGTAAATATACAAAACATATTTCAGGCAGCTCCAAATACTATCAAAATTTTAAATGATCTCTTCGAATAGGACAATAAATATTCACTTCAGCACATTATTTACGAGGTCGTAGAATTTTCCACATTTCCAGACTTATTAATAATCAATCACGCGTCACCAGCGTGCAGATAAAATAGCAAACTTCGATGTTGTTTTAATTGTTTGTAAATTTATAACAAAAGCGGAATGAATGATATTAAAAGCTATAATAGTCTGTATAATTTGACAATTAAATGTAAAATTACTTATAATAAAATTCGCAATACGTTTCGAACTTTTACTATTTTAACCACATCTTCAACAGTTTAATTCTATTAAACATATAACATTTTCACAGCGTATAAACTTGTCTATACGCGTATTAAAGTTAGTATACAATTTATTTCATAATAATATTATACTAAATTTAATATTATTACACAATACGTGTATATGAGATTGTGTATAACGCATTAACCGGACGAACAGACAATTTTAACTCATTAAACGTAACAAAAGAACGAAATTTTCTCATATAATGCTTCATTCTCGGTGAATTCGAACGCGTCACCTAAATAAAACGAATAATCTTGTATTTGTTGATTTAAAACGACAGAGATCGAAAAATGTCGATCCCTTGGCTTCGTAATAAGAGAGGAAACATGCATCTAAGGTAGGCATGCAAAATAAATTGCCAGACGGTCGCAAGTCATGGTTTGCATTCACCGGCGATGGAGTTTCTAGCGAACGTCTCACACCCTCTCGATAAAATAAATTCGTAAATGACACACCCTTTTCACGCGTCACTTCCGCGCGCGCAGTTCATTCTCGGCAGCTCTTTTTTCGCGGCCGAGCGGCGTGTTTACGAAGCGGAAAAGAGGGTGAATATCAGGAGTCAATAGTCGAGCTCCAAGGAGGACGCGCGCGCGATCCTTTATCGTGTCACATACTTCCCTCGGAACATTAACCTGGGAACTCTTGATATTTTCTCGCCAAGAACGAACACGTAGTTGAACGTCGAGCAGGAAATAAAGATTATTTAAAACGTAGACCCTGTTGCATCTACCAAATATACTGCGCCGCTTAGTTAAAATGTCTTATCTAGCACTTTGAACTTAAGAAAACTGAAATTTTATTATTATCTTTGTGCTAACTCTGGTCTCCTTTATTCAGTTAAAAAAACTATAGTCATTATTTCTCTCTCGTAACAGCTTATATAACGCAATCTCACTTAAAAGATAACGAAGGAACACGTCCTCGAACTTTTCAGTATCTCTCGATTGAGTTGCAATGAAAGAAGAAAGTACTTTATAGATTAAAGAATAACACGTATTGATATCGTAACAAGATTGTAGCAAGTTTTTCAATTCTACTACCTTTATCTTTCTCATCTTCAAAATGTTTTTAGATATCTTCAGTTTTCTCTTCCCTTCGTTTGTTATATTCAATGATCTTGAATAATCGCAGAATACACGTGTAGTACGCTGCTAATGAAATCTCGAACCGTTTTTCATAATCCACGTAATACGTAGATAAATTAATAAAAGGTTTCCACTAGTATTTAAATATTTTCCTCAGCCATTGAACATCGACTATCTTAAATATTCTATGAGAGATCTTCTAGATGAACACGATATTATAAAAGCTTGGTAGGAGCAGAGTTCAAATACGTGCTGAAGGAGAAAAGGGCGATTATAAAATTCCAGCAGTCCAAAGGAAATTTCCAGGGACGCCTTGTTAAACGATTTTCGCGGAATATTTGCGCATGCCTTCCGGAACGGTGGCGCGCCGCGATAATTTTCATCGGCCTTGGAATTTCCTTCAAGATACGGCATTCCTCGTTTCAGCTACGTTGTTCGGTACGTTCGCGCCGCTTCATAAGGAAATAAGAGGCCACGCGAGTTCCAGCTTCCCGCCTTCTATTCTTTCCCACTTCCTTTCGTCGTATGTTTTCTTCAATTCCTTGCACGTCTTTTTGCACGTCGTTACCAGGTAACTACTCCCCGGCTAATTCGCCCTCGCGAGAGAACACTTACTTTCTTGAACGCGAAACACCCCAACTCTTCGTCGCATTCTACTATTCTTTTCATTTCTTTCCAACGTGGCTGAGTTAAAACGACGTGAAACTACCCCTTAATTTCCGATTGCAGCGTTGATAGGTCGTGATCGATAAATGCGTGCGATATATAAGTCTCATCCACTTCATATAAGGACAGTCGAGCAATTTGTTTAGTGAAAGATTTTATTTCGTTTTCTTATATTCGATGGAGGAAACAAAAGTAAGGAAGTAATCGATTCTTTAACGTATTTCGATGATACTGAATTTAAAAATACAGACATCGAAAACTTAATATCGTAAAATACAAGTATTTATCAAAACTGGTATACACTGTCACAGAAAAAGAATTTGATCAAGTTTCGATATTTGTATATCACTGTCGAGCTCGCTTGGCGTTTTAAGACCACCGTTTCCCCTGTACCTTTCGAACGTATAGTGTTTCGTAAATTTTCCAAAAAATCTGCTCGCGTGAATAGGTGCACACGATTTCAAGCTCGACAGGCCGAAAATACAGAATCGGAGGTAGCGTCAGTAAATTCCCGATTTATCAGCTCGACGAGCGCTTAACGCAACGGTGACGACGTTATCGCTGCCTATGGAATCATCCTCTGACGCAGTGGCTTCCCCCGTGAATTTATATGTTTGAAAAAGCTACGCTGTATAAAGAGGATGCTGTACGATCTACTTGACATTTTTACGTTATTTTCAGACGACTTCCTAATTCGTACTTTTAGCCTGAATTGCACATTTGCTGTCCTATGTCGAATAGCATTCAACGTTTTGTTGTATTCTTTTTTCGTTTAATTTCAATTTATAAAATGCATTTCTTTTGGATATTATACGTTAATCTAATAAAAATAGAGGTAGATATATTTCCGATCGAAAGTCATAAGACATCTCTTGGTTTTTATAAAATTTTAATATCTGCATACGGATTATGAATTTTAAATTGTCTGCATTTTTTGATAAAACTTTTAATACGTTAGTAAAGTTCTTTATCGTTACAAAATAATTTATTCATCTTTTTTATCAGTTTTGGGATAAATATAATAATTCTAAATTCCGTTGCGAAAAATTATTCATTCTAAAACAAATTGCATCTCGATATTCAATCCCGCTACGAATGAGTATTTTCCCCTACGAAAAATAGAGATTTACAGGAAACACATGTTGACTGGATTTTAAAAAATGACTGGAAGCGATGTGGATCGAACTAATGTTCGATAATTTTCCATCGGTTCGTAAAACCATTCGCGTCCATGTCAACGTAGATAACGCGTCAGTCAGTATTTTTAACTGGTACATCGCACAATTTTGTTTCCAATATGGTATTAGTTTAGCGCTGAAATATTTCTGTGATTGAAATTGAACGCTTTCGCCTGTCTAGATAACCCTCGCCATAACAGAGGGCTGTGCTTCCAGAAAATCGACAGTTCATTATATTTTTTTAAAACAGTTAGAAACATAGAAACCGTGTGAATCAAATTTTTATCATTTTAAAATATAATGTGATATAAATTATTATATAAAATATTACAATGGGAAGAGTTAGATATAATTACGAAGGATGTAAATTTCGAGTTTTTTACGATCTATCTTTGAAATATCTACGTTAACATTTTCATCCCAATACAGTTTATAATTTTCCGCAAAAGAATATAATTCATATAATTCCACTGTAATTACGATTTTCTACTTTAGTCGAAGCTTCACAAACCTGTACGATAAAAGTTTGTCAAAGACGATGTGCAGACGTTTTCACTTGTATTTTGTATTATTTATTTTCACTCGTTTGCTGAAACACGTTCAGTTATTTAGATTTATGGATGACGCGACAAAGGTTCTAACCAGTCCTTTATGATTATATATCTTCAGTAACAGGCTGCTGAGAAACTTTAAAAGATGTAATTCAAATAAATTGGACGCGTCTGATATATATAAAATAAAAGTTAACCCGAAGGAAAATTTATACTCTATTTACTTAAATTATGCGTAATCAGATACCTGGATAAAAATGAATCTCACAATGAATTTCCACTACACATGGATTCATATCAATTTTTTAACTAAACATTTCAATACACATAAATTTGTGCAGCAATTTAGTTCTACCGCTTAAATAACGGTTTGTGAGCTAAATAAATTGCTCAATGCTATACTTTAAATCTAAAACAGTAACTGTGCGTTCAGAGCGTAAATGGAATCTGGAACCAATCGACGAAAACCACCGACGATTTACGAGAAGTTAATTTGACATTCGTGCAACCGCTGCAAAGTGAAAGCCGTTCTACCATATATCGAAATAAATAAGCCGTAAAAATCTCAGCATCGTACGAAGTTTATAATAATTCGATTGTTTCATTTCAATTATACCGAAAACTGTATCTACGATTTTTAAACAGTTTCATTCTCTGCTCGTGATATTTTAATGGCGAACAAATTTATTTGCGTAATATCAATGTGCAGAAGGTCTCTGATGTGAGTCGTTCGGAAACAATCTGCTACACTGGCACGCTACACTACAGGAGGATTTCTTTCGAATCTTCTCCGTTGATTACCGACAAGCGTCGTTTGATAGCGCGATTCGCGTTGGCGAATTATGCGCGTGATGATTTGTATTATATATAACGGAAAAGCTCATGGTTAAACGTTGGCCAGTTCCGTAGTTCTTCCGTTGAATTATTCATCCGCTTGAATAATTCATAAGTCGAATTTAGCGAAGGGATGAACAATGAAACGACCGAAAATGCGGTGTAAGATTTGACAAATTTATCGCTTTATGGTTTATTTACAAGCGCGTTGCCGTTTGCGACTGCTAGAAGCGCAATCCACTTAAACGGCGAATCAATATTTTCCGGACCGCGGCATCCCAGCTGTATGGCTGCATGCAGAAATAAATAAATCTCGAGGGTCCACAGCATTTTATTATTATTACGTTGGCGAACAGACGCCTGAGCCTGTCATCTGCTATTTTTGTCAGTCGAACAAATTGTTCGCCTTACAATTAGCGGACGAATGGACTTTTATCTTGCATGGAATTTGAAATGTACAATTGTGATTGAATACCGCATTTGCCTAGTTCACTTTTTAAATAATCTTTGTAAGGGATAAAACGGCGAAACATTGGAATATCGTTTCATTTACATTGAACAGAGAAAGATTAAATATCCTTTCTTTAATCGTGAAATCAGTTACCACGCAGTTCGATCTTGCGCGAAGTATCGTAGAATTTCTATCCTCAAAGGGTTAACTTTTCCCTGCTGCACTTTTCGGATCACTTTCGGTTCGTTGTCGATCGTATCTTTTTTATTGTTAAAAATTCTCTTCAGTTTTTGTTTGAAGAAAATACAGCACGAAAGAATCATTAACATGCATGAATTTTTGTGCCAATTTTATGTCAAAATGCTTTCTAAAAAAAAGTCTGTTTACTTATCCAAAAAATATATATAGTAACCTCCTATTTTTTAAACAACCGATAATGACGTATTATCTTGATATTTATTATACAGCCATTTCTAATATTGTTGTTATATCTATAACATTTTTATTGTATTTCACGTGCAATTCATATTTATTGCCAATAAAGAAGTCGTTTTTTTTTGTCACCTAAATCCTTTACCATACAAAGTTCTCAATTACTTTGTATACTTGGCCTTCGTAAAAAATTTCTCGAATATGTATATAAAGAATGTTTGTACGCGAAGATTGCTAAATTTGCTTTGCAAATCTGTTCTCGAGCTTTTTGGACGTTCCAGAAAGAAATTCATCGATGAAGGTGTCTAGAAATTTATTCCGGGTCAGATAGCATTTTTTGAATGTGTATAAAAGAAATTCGTCGAATAAAGATACCGTTCTTCCAACTCATTCATATTCCTTTGCACGTGCTATTAACGTTGTTTCAAATGTATTACAAAATTTAAATACGTTTCATTTTACATAGAAATAGCCAAATATACATAAAAAGTATATACATAAAAAATATACATAAAATCATAGAAACGAATGTTCCAAATGTTTCTAACGACGAAGATATTTATGAAATATATTCAAATCTTGATTGAATACGAAACGTCCGCACCAGGTTTCATCGAAACTCCCAATGTACCGAGTACCGCACAGAAACAATAAGTTCGTTTGAGCAATCCTCTAATCAAGCAACGACCTTTAATCATTTCTCAGCGAAATATCTGGAATCTGCAAACAAGTATCATCCTATTATCAATACGCGGCTCGGTTCGTGGAAAAAAAAGTGTCGCAGGTTAACGAAAAACCGTGAACAAATCTGCAAAGCTTCCGTTCGTCTCGCTCTACTTACAACAGTCATTAAGCTGATGCTAATGAAAAAGATCTCGTAATTATCAACTGGACGCAAACTACACGAGCCGTTCCCTCTAATATAGACTTCCAACGGCAGAAAACAAAGGAGTAGAGTATTGTAATTACTGTGTTCCCCGCCTCCACGAAAACTCATACACATACACAGAGACGCGAGAAGCGTGTGAAACGGTTCTTCCACCGCTGTACACTCGTTGGTCCGCTGGAACGTTTGCACCCCCTTTCGAAACCCTTCGCCACCCCCGTTGCTCATACCCGGCCTCTGCGGTCTGCATGGCAGATTTATATTTGCATTTAAAATTTGCACGCTGTGGCACATCTGTCAAACGGTGCATATTGAAATCTTTGCGCGTTGTGGTAGTTACACACCGATAGCGTAGGTGTTGTCAATCTGCTCGATCTCCCTTTCTCTCCTCCACTTCCAACGAGTCATCACCACTTTTCGCCTTGTTTCTCCAAAATTTAACCTCCGTGTATAGTCGACTCTCGTCTATGGAACAGTTGGTTGACCACGCCTGTGTCATTCGGTAGTTCAACCCTCTGAAACTGCGCCAAGCTCGCGCAATTCTTGCCGACCGTAACACCCCTTCAGGGTCTACCATTATCACGGTGATTTTGAAACGATGCGAAATTTGACTGCATAGTGATCTTTTGCTTTTAAAGGGGAAGGGGGAAGGAAACAAACTTTGATCTACCGCATTTTAGTAAACGTTGCCCGTCTATCAAATAATGGTCGTCCGGTATTGAATTATGAAATTTGTTGTTAGTAAATCATCATCCTCTGTCTTATAATATCATAAGGAAATACTTTCGATATCTAAAGAGATCCTTCTATGATTTCCCATTTTCTTATCGAAATATAATATAATCTTCCTAATCATGTCAGTTAATCCCCTGCAATTCTGTATCTATAGGTACATCACAAGAAGAACGATTTCAATTATTGAAACTACAAATGAATAGAACCTCTGTAACAATAAATTACCTATAATAAACGGATTAATTATCTTTATACATATAGACCAAAGCAATATATCTTTGTCTTCTGCTAATCTTCCTAACCTAACCTAACTTATCATTAGCCTTCCTATCATTAGCTGGCAAAATCACATATGCCACCAACATGTGCTTTTATACAAATAATTCCATATATCCACAAAGCATGTAACAGATATAACACCGTGACGATTGTTCGACCAGTTCCAGGAATTAATCACTTGCTATTCCAATCAACGCTTCACTAAAACCGTACATATTACCACCGAATATCGGTCAATCACACTTGTGCTGACACGAGAACACAACCGCCCATGCGAAGCGATTAAACCGGATGGGCGCGGAATTTTTTTGCGTCCACCTAAATCAAACGTCTAGGTTTTCAATGTCAATCGACAACCCATAAAAACTCACTAATTGAACGAAGCTCGTTCTTCCTCCTAACTCCAATTGGAAAAAAATAAAGAAATGAAAAAAACAATATACCCCTCTGCAATCCTCTAAACTCGTTCGCTGGAAAACTGACCGCGCGCTGGCTTTTTATCGATCACCGAGATCCCTGTACCATAATTTTGGTCAGCAAGAAAGAATTGATTCCGCGTGCATTCATTCGCACATACCTCCAGGGCGCCGCCTGCAAAAACAACGCGAATCGTCGCCGGCAAATTTACTGTGCCTTTTTTATGGATGCTATTTGCACCGCGAGGAGTCAGGGGGTTGCAATACGCGAGCCTCCGAGAGGGGCGTTGCGTGTTACAACGGATCTTTATGCATCTATGGGGAATTTAACCCTTTCGCAGATGGACCACAGGCTCTTTCTCTCCTTTCCGGAGATATAATAAAAGAACGCGAATTATTAAAAACACTTAACCCACGGGATTCGTCGTATCGTAAGAGACATCGTTTACACACGGTACAACGCACAATCGAACACAACACGTCACGACAATTCTTTCCACTCGTTATTAATTTACACGAAGAATTTGCATTCGAAGGATTAGCCACGATCGATGATAATTTTGCGTCGAAACGAGGGATGATAAAGTGGAGGAGAAAAGCGGAGGAAGGTCGAACTGAATGCAAGGGGTTAGTTGGCCGACCACTCTATAATCCAGGTACATACGTATGCACGCGGGAACAAGGGGTTGAAAACTGGACAAACGACGCGATTGCTATCCAGGGATGAAAGTTCCATGTCAACTCCGAAAGTCGAAGTTGCTAAGCTGTTCCAAACGATTCGTTTGCACTGTCGACGAGCGGCCGAACTGCGGCATTTTTCACCGGTATCAAAAGAGTTCCTCTGCTGAGCTTTCGTTTACTTCTGCCAATTTACTTCTCAGAGTCGAGGCTGGACGATGATCAACACACCCGTGAATTAGCGTTAATATTCCTTTCGGTTGGTGAAGTTGCAACGCATTCGTTTCAATGATTCGTATTCTTTTATTACCTTCAGAATCCTCTCGTTTGAACTTGCTTAAATGTTTGTACACTGATTTCTACGCGAATTGGTTTCGTGATAATTAAATTGGCTTTTGTGCGATAGGTATTAAAGCAGAGATTAATAGGATGTATAATTGTAATTATCGTTGATTAATATATTGGTTGCTGACGACGCGTACACTGCCTTGTTTCAATTATGCGAGTTGCTGCTCACGCCACAGCTATGGTGTATTTTTCGTTTGTGTATTTTAATAAAATAGTCTGGAAAAACGAAAGGAGTAATAAGCGATGCGTTGCAACAAACGTCGTTTAAGATAAAGTTATCTCTGGTGAAAAAAGTGAACAGTTTTTCTAGTGAGTTGTTTAAATAATAAAGTTAGAGATGACGAGATAATGAGAACATCGATGCGATCATTTGTATTTCAATGTAAAGGTTGTTATTATATCAGATTACATTACTGTATCATTACACGCATTGAATTTGTTCATCTACGTATGAGAATTATTAGCTTGTTCTATCTTCATCAATTATTAATTAGTGTGTCAGTGAAAACGCAACTCACTTAATAGTATGGCATCATATAGATCAACAACGTTTATAGTAATGACACAACTACATAGAAAAAGCAAACTTTTCGTGAAATCGGTTTGGAGCATAAAAAATTAAGAAAAAAAATTCAATTATATCATTCCTCTTGAATAATCTAATTTCAGCACATAAAAGAATAACGTTTCTATAGGTAAGCAATTGTTGCAAATATTTCAAAATTCATTTTGGACATTTTCTCGCTCATCTGCCAAGTCAACGACGCAATATAATAATATGAACATGTCTATATCGACGTAACGGCATTTCTATCCTGTGCTATTAAATGAGCGACAAGTTTCATTCGTTATCACAATATCAAAATCACAAGAAATTTTTCTCCCTAATCTCATCAAATTGCACCGAAAATATTCAAGCTTGTACGAATACACGCATATACAAAAATTCGGTATATTGGTTGCAATTACTTACCTGGTGATAAGTTGATGAACTCTGGGCCACTGACCCCTCGATCTCAATATCCTGACCGTTCCCAGAAGCGACGATCTGTGCGACGGCGAAACCTCCATGGCTTTGAGGTAGTACTTGAGAGAGGGTAGCCATTTGCCTGAAGAGACAGACGACGATTTGGCGTGAGTATAAAGCTGAAGCAGGGCCGTTACGCGGCCAGAGTTTCGATGTTGTTTCGCTACTTTAAACTACTTTAACCCGTACTTTGGACCGTCGCAACGGGAACTGTCGGGCTTTATCCTACTTTAAGCTATTTAGCCATTTTACCACCGTCACTTACCATTCTGGTACAACCACGATGCATATTCCGCGAGATGGTCGGGGCTTTTGGGTTGTAATCGGACCACGTGCCGTAGAAGAACGCCAGCGGTAGGACCAGTTGCCAATCTCGCCAGCACCAAATAAGCTGGCGTATACGCCGGGTCCAAGGATACGCATTTTTGCAACATCCGTATACATTCCTCTGTCCTGTTCGTTTTCCTGGCAAATGGAACCACGTAACACGTTACGTTAATTTATTTTTATATACGTACGCATTAGGTTACTCGAAAAGTTGATAGCGAAATTTAGGAAAAATGTTAACTATTCTGTTTACACAGAGTAATCATGTCATTAGAAAATATATACAGCCTTTCTATCGATAACTTTTGTTCTTCACATCTGATCACGATAACGAAACGTTTACAGGTGTATTAATTGGTGAATGATTTGACTGATTTCAATTGTCAGCAGATATTAGGATTCAAATACAGATATTTGTCTATCGAGTAAAGTCCTTATCTACTTCGAATCGTTTGATTCGATCGAGCGTGCTTAGTTAGTGTGCCTATTATATGCAAGTATTTAATGAAAATATCGTTGCACATGAATGTAAAATTGACAGGGTACGTTATACAGTTGTTGTGTAGAGTAACGATTTATTGGCAATTAAATTTCGGTGTGTTTCGACCGCGTTAACTATGACAACCTATCCCAATCATGTATGACGATCATTCTCGCGAAGTATAACATGATTACAATCAAGATATGAATGCCTGTACTTGCTTTTAACGTACTATGCGCAACCGTGTACGTCATTGTGCATTCTGCGCGCTTCATCGTTCCGTGAAATGCCACTGTCCATGACGCTAATTTCGCGTCCACTGGTTAATACAATTTTCCCTAATAGACCGGTAGGTAGATACTAACCTAATAAAATTATACGCAGTACTCAAAAATTTAACTTAACGACTGCTAATGTTCATTTTCAATCTTGAAAGTTAGCTCTTTATTCGTTCGTGAATTTAAATTCTTTTGGAATTAGAATTTCTTACTAAAGATAATAGTGACGACGAATAAAAATTTGTCGATCTTCAAAAGACCCTAAATTGCTTCATGTTCTGTTACATTCCTTTAAACGCGTATATATTACTACACGATTTATTGTCGAAATTCAACTTTCAGATTTAAAATTGAAGACCGTATATCACGCGGTCATTCGTTTTATGGAAAAAGTCGATTCTAATTTCTCATTCACAAAGAAACGATAGATACGCATCGTTATTAGTCGATAAATTATCCACGTTTTCAAGTATTTCCTCTGTAAGTACAACTGAAAGAAAGAATGGAAGCCACGAAAAGATTTTTTCTTTCATTCATTAAATATCATAATCTACTCATGATATATTATATATTTTCGTGCATTACATATATTCTCTGTAAATCTGTGCATCTTTGAATTTTCGATAAACGTATAAATATCTGCAGTTTAGTTATCGGTGAAAAAGTGGTTATCAGCGATTTGCAAACGAAGTTGTTCCATCAGACCTTCGAATTCCACGATCCGTAACACACTTCATAAGCCGAGTAATCCGCGAGCCACGTTCCCAGGGATTTCACGGTGGAAAATACTTTCGTGGAGGAGAGAGCCGAAAAATTTATGGGCGATGTTTCCCCGCGAGCCGGAACGAGACGAAAATGGAGTACGGCGCAGCAGCAGCAGCAACAGCAGCGAGTGGACGGAACGAGCAATGGCGGTATGCACGTACGCACGCCTCGCTCCCGCCGTCAATTAAACATTAATTTATCAAGCAAGAGGCGTTAATTAAAGTTTAATTTTGACCACGCCACTAGAATTACCTTGCCACGCTAAATTTATCGCGCAGCGTACACCTCGGTATACCATTGCCTCGATATACCATTAATAAAGCAGGAAGCCGTTGGATTCGGGATTCTTCCTGTAACTCTGTTTACTCCGCGTGATGGGAGACACCATTAGATTCCAGAGCATTCGGAGAAACGAGAATTATCCTTGATTTCCACTCGTTGTTCCCTGCCGCGTCTGCGTCGTTTATTCTCTTTTTACACAAATGAACGAGTTGCTTCTTCACTTGCGAGTTTCACAGACCGTTACCATAGATACGCGATAGCGTATCGTTTCGTTCTCTCTTTGTGAACGTTTTTGAGAGGAAACAAGTTCTTATCAAACTCGAAAGAGTGGCTCTGTGCATGATTCTTGTAGTCGATAATAATGGTATCGTTCGAGCTGTCTATTATAGTGTAATTAATGTTCAATGATTAACGATAACCGTTATGATTAATTAAATTGTTAATCACGAACGATGACGAGATGATTAAATATACTACTGAATTTAATTAATATTGCATCGTTACGTGTTATGATAAGATCAATATTTATGATTTTAGTAAATGTGAGTTCAATAAGAAGAATTAAATTAACGTTACCACGTTAATCTCCGAGCATCTAATTCGTAGAATTTTATCTTGCGCGAACCAACGTATAAGTAAAAAATAATGTTAAATAGAATGTTTCTTAATTTTTTCTCCAATATCCTTCTACGTTACCGAACATTATTACATTATATTAGCGAATTTTTACGAGCTATATGTTACAATTTCTAATTTATAAATTATCAATATCAATAAATTCCTCTGTGTAATAGCTAAGAGATTACAAAAAATAAAGCAAGCAGCGATTCACATGACATCTGACATTTCTTTCACGATGACTTAATCACTGACCTGTAGAGTTGACCAAGATTGTAATGAGCGTTCACGTGCCCCGGTTGAGCGTGTATCGCAGCCAAAAAGTGTTGCTCCGCTTGATCGCCCACCGAAAGCGTTCCGAGGTTGTTATGCGCACTAGCGTACGTCGGCCACAGCCTGTAATCAAATAAACACCGCTTATTTACAAAGTGATTAATGATCCGGAGGAACACGGTGCGTTTCCATGCATTTAATCACGAAGGTAATTCCGTTTCCCCCATGAGCATACGTGCTCGTGTAATAATCGGCGATAGAGCTGATCAACGGAATAATTTTCATCGATCCTTCGAATCTTTTCGAGCGCAAATTTGCACAATATCGTGAAAATATTTCCGTATGTTCGAACACAACGACAAACAAGCAGGCATAACAGCAATGTAATCTCGAATCAGTTTTTCTTTTGTAATATCCTGGATTTTATCTATACTGCACGGAGAAATCGTGATGTTACAAATATTTATACGTATGTTTTCCATAAGTTTCCTACGAATATATATGTTGCACGTAATACCTAAGCTTTCAAACTGAAAAAAGAAAAAAGAAATGTATCGATGCACGATACATCCTGAATCTCCGAGATAATGACAAACCAGCGAACTCTTGCTTTCGATATCGTGGACGAGGATTCGATCGTATTCGGCTACATACCCAGACGCCATCGTGAACGAATAAAAGGTGAATTCGCAATAGGGTGAAAGATGAATTAGATAATTTTTTGCGAGAAACTATTCACCTTTCTCCGTAGACAGGAAATTACGTTTGGCGAAAATTTCCGAAAGTTTCCTTTATTAACAAATGCCCATAGAACTGGCTAGAGCAGTAGGAACCAGTAGATATCAGTTAATTATCGTTTAGTTAGAGGAAACAACGAATGGTTAGCGAAGGAAATTAAGTGGCGCGTTTTGCTTGATTTTCAAATGATTAATCGGTTTTCTTAAATTAGTTGGAATTGTTGATAGATGTTCGGTAATGAAAATTTTCTTCGTATTATTCGTAGAATTGCTTCAGAATAATCTCATTTCAGATTCGAAGAATAAATCTTCGGGTTCTGTTGAAAATATTAAGGATAAAAGCCAAAGTAAATAAACGTCAGTAAAATATACAGAAGCATAAATTCTTCTGATTGCTTTCATAATAGCGCGTTTATCGTTAAACGTCTCGCTCGGATAATGAAACTTCTCATATTTTCCTATCTTCAAGTGCAAACAGGTTAAACACGCTCCTCTTCTTTGAATAACACGTGGAACGCATATGGGTATTTAATTTTCAGAAAATATTTAACAACACTGCGTATTTAAGAGCACAATTCTGCCTTTAGTTAAATCCGCTGCTCGCGTCGCCGCTGCGAACCCAATTTAGAAGTAACGTAGTTAGGGAAAATGTATTATGGTGGAAACGCGTTCTGACAAAACTTTCCTAACTTCTGACGAGAAACGTATATTCTGACAGTGATTCTTTGAAGCGACGCAATTCGGCCCAACATCGCGACGAGGATTAAAGAACAATATTATATTTCTGTGGACGGGGGATGTGGAACAACGCGCGGAACTCGATTTTTCAGCGGAAGCTACTTCGAGAAACTAAATTAAACTTTCTTATCGAAATAAAGGATATTCCTCGACTAAATAATCGTCATGAAGAAACTGGCCGGTGAAACGTTAATCGTCCCCGATTTCGACGTCAACTGTCTTATAATTGCAAAGAAACAAAACTTTCGTCTTGCTATTTAACGTTTTCATCTTGGATCGAAGAAACTTTAATTTATTCAGAAATTAACCGTTACTTTTTTAATGGAAGCTAACTACGACTTTAATTATTTCGTTTCGTTATGTAACAAGGTACTTTATTTAATACATTTATCTTAGAATGTTATAATTCGTTGGAGCTGTCGTCCAGAGAAACAGACTCCATTTCTGTATGCACTTTACCAGAGTCTGAATATAATTAAAAGTTAAAAATTTCTACCTCGTTAATATCTGACTTCCGTGCGTCCTGATATTTCACTGAATTCTTCATATTACTTAAAACACTGCATAAAAGGAATTTAAAAAAAAAAAAAAAAAAAAATATATGAAACAATAAAGTAATCACAAAGAAATTATACTAATGGAATATTCAAATATATTTTAATGATAATATTAATCAAGTACGATACACTTCTTATAAAAAGATGTTTCACAACCTCAAACAAAAAATTATTTCATTAAAATAATGTAAATCTTTAGAAGAGAATTATTTCAGTACACTGCACGTTGTACATTATCAAATATTTTATTATTACAAATAAAATACAGTTGTCACTACGATATATTATTTTCACCTACTATTAAATTACAATTTTCAAGGGACGAATAAATATCACCACAGTAGATTTCCAGAGTGGAATCTTAAATGATAATGGAAGAAAGAAATTCAACTTCTATTTGTTATTGAATACAGTTCTCTATCGATGTTTATTTTTCAATATATATAAATATATAACTTTGAATCAATGAATCAGCCGATGTAACAATATTTTTATATCCTGTATTTAATGTACGATTAATCAATTATATTCTGCGACTAAAACTTTTTACGGAAATAAAAATAAATTAATCAATTGGTAAATGTTGGTAATAAATTAAACGAACACGCGTCATGCATCCGAAGCTCAATTAGAAGTGTAATGAAGTGTTATGTTAAAACGATCTCGGAGCAACGATACGTAATTACAAAGCGAAGAAACTCACGAACAGAGAGGCACGAAGCAACCGGCCCAAAATGAGGCCTCTGTAAATCACCGACCGCCTTTCAAGATTCAAATGATTTTGCCGCACGTTGGAGGCCGGTATGAAACTTTCGCTGCGTGGTATACGTCTAAATTGCTTCGAAGCATGAAACTCCGTACTTAATAAAATGTCACTCGCACCCTTTCGGCTGCAACCCTTCTCCATGGCACGCAGTCAACTACAGCGTTACAAGCTTTAACACAGGCAAAGTAAAATCTGTGTATCCCAGCCTCTCTTCTGTCTATGCGCGGAACACAGTTGGGATTGCGTTAACGCCATTGTAATTATAATACCGTGTAAACTACCTTCCCTTCGTCAATTTGCGATTTGACGGTTTGTTTTAGGGGGGGGGGGAGTAGGATAGTATGGATAAAATGAGAATAAATAAGAAGAGCATTAAAAAATTTAGAATCGAGCGAAAACACTTTATTCCAACTGTTTCATATTCGATAAACTATCTTGAAAATCTGTTCAGAATTTGAACGAATTTTCATATTTTCGTGATAACATTTGTATCGTGTTTCTGTTAAATTTATATTTATATTCTATTAAGTATCGTTTTATGTATTAAAACTGATAAGAACGAAATAGAATGTCGAGTCCTGTTCCACACAAAATCATCATGACAGCAGTGCTGTTTAATGTCATGAAGTCCTCTGATTTATTGTGGTATTTCATTTATTTATTGTGGATATTTTGTAAACTACCGACACGGTATGGTTATAAAGTTTCCCAATTTTTATATGAAATTACTTTTGAAAGCAAATATGCGGTAGAAGGAAAGGGGTAAAGCGGGGAGAAAGAGGAACTTTTATTCGGTCGTGTTCAACAAAGACCTAACTGGATTGTTAAAGGTAAACACGAAAGATACCAAAATCTGATATCCCATTCGTTAGAACGGAGATATAGTTTCATGTAGTGATTCCGCTTTTTGTCCATACAATAGCTGTTTACTCTCAGAACAATTTTTCGATATTTCGAAATCCTTTTTCCTATAACTTTGGTTTATCAACAAAAAATTTACTTCCGATATTAAATGGTTTAAATACAACACGTTAGATAGAAATCATTTCCGATCTCGAAAATCGGAATCAATCATAAATTTACGATACTATGGTGCACTATGTTACGCAAGAATTTTTAAGGATTATCTCCGTATAATTTCACTTGTTTCTATAGAATTCATAGCTCTGTACGACCCTCTGCTTTATAATATCAAATCGCACGTCTGATATGCTTTATCATTTTAATTCGAGAAACGCAGGTTGTATTTCCAACGAAATGTACAGTTTGAACTACAATTATAATTTGATATCTTCAAACCGAAAACCAATAACTGTAAATTATACATGACAGAATGCAACATAAGTGTAATTACTCACTCGCGAGGAAACTTTATCGATGTAATCATGGTCAAGTCGGGTCTCGTTAAAGTGCCAACGAAATTTCAGAACGTTTCGTGTGACACACGTAATGTATCCGTTTACAAAAGTCAACAAGCGTTGAAACACTTTCCTACATAATATTACGACATTCTGTACGTACATTTCGACAGTCTATTACAAAATAGAATAGTCGATGTTCACTTAAACAACTACTGGCTTTCAAAGAATCGTACAAGAACTGATTAATCTACAGGGTGATTGGTAACCGGTGGTACATGCGGAAAGGGGGTGATTCTACGCGAAAAGAGAAGTCGAAAATATAGAATAAAGATTTTTTTTTAATTTTTCCATCGAGACAACGATCTACAGAGAGATCCGTTATAACGTACCGCACGCGTACCGAGCGAAAATTCAAAGTCGATTTTCTCGAAAACAAAGCCTCGAACGAAAAATTTTTATTCCATATTTTCGACTTCTTTTTTCGCGTAGAATCACCCCCTTTTCGCTTGTACCGCCAGTTACCAACCACCCTGTACATACAGTATGTCAAACAAACGTCAACTAAAATCAAATTATAATACTAAACACGCAATATCACTTCCAAACTTCTTGTTCTAGCCACAAAATGGAGACAACCTACCCTACACTGAACGAATACACGCGCCCCTTCTTGCATGACATCTGTAACAGCAAATTGACTCCACGAAGACGTACGAATGGCGCGCCCTTTTCGATGTAATATTCGATATTAAGGATGCTATCGCGGTGGCAACATGCGGACTGTAGTAACCACGTTGGAATATTAGAAAAAGAGACGGCTATAGAATGGGGAAAGGAAAGTGGAGAACACAATTCGTAGAGACTGGAGACATCTCGAGGATAGTTGGTTCGTAACGGTGTAACGGTGAGGGGGTTGTCTGCGAGAGCTCAATAAGGGTTGGAGGTCGGAGAAAACTACGGAGAT